GAGATGAAAAATCTTTTTGTTTTCCCCCTTAGCTGGTCATAGCTGGTTGTAGATGCATTTCGTTTATTCAGCAAATATTTAATGAGCCCTGATTACCATTCTAGGACTGGATACATAAACTCTGAACAAAGTCCCTGTGCTCAAAGAGCTTTCATTCTGGAAGATAGATAGCAAAGAAATGCATAAAGAATTGAAGTTTTTATTTTGTTTTAAAATAACCAGGGCCAGTGGCTCATTGCCTGTAATTCTCAGCACTTTTGAGAGGCTGAGGCAGGAGGATCACTTTGAGCAGTATTTGAGGACCAACTGGGGCAACATGGTAAGACTCTATCTCTATTAAAAAAAAAAAAAATTTAAAAACTCAGAAGTTAACATTAGGGCGTGGTGTAGGGGTTCATGTCTGCAATCCTAGTACTTTGGGAAGCTGAAGTGGAAGGATCACTTGGGCCCAGGAGTTTGAGACTAGCCCTGGCAAGATAGCAAGACCTCATCTCTACAAAAAATAAAAAAGTTAGCTGAGTGTGGTGGCACACACTAGTAGTTCCAGCTACTTGGGAGGGTGAGATAGGAGGACCATGAGCCCAGGAGGTCAAACCTTGGTGACCAAGTGACCTGGTCTCAAAGAAACAAAAAGAAATTAAAATTATAGGAAAAGGTATATACAGATAAGTCTCTCATCTTTGTCTCTTTCCAATCTCATTGGTAGTTTTTAAAAAAATTACCAGCTTCTTTGTTCATCTTTTTTTTTTTTTTTGAGCCAAGTGTAAGGAAATATTAACATATAATAATTTTAGATAGTGGAGGAATGAAATGGAGGGAATAAAACAAGGTAATGAAATAAGAAATGATTGGGGTAGGACATATTAGATAGGGTTGACGAGGAAGGCCTTTTGAGCTGAATACTGAGTGAAGGAACTAAGCGAACCATTCAGAGATCTGAATGTTTCAGAGGGAACCTCAAAGACCCACGGGTGGGAACGTTCCTCGTGAGGGGAAGAGTAGCTCTGGATAAGGTCAGAGAGTCAGGAATTGGATCACATAGTTCTTGGAGCCATCAGATGGTCTTAAGCTGTGTTTTAAAAAGAGTACTGTGTTTTGAAAAGAGTAGCCACTGTCTGGAAAGTAGATGATATGGAAGCCAGGAAATCAGCAGTTGAGAGATGATGGTAGCTTGACTAAGGTAATGACAGTGGAAATGGGGAAGAATAGCCAGATTCAAAGACATATATTTGAAGCTGGAAGGACTTGTTGATGGATTAAGTGGAATTGAAGAGCTGCTAAGGTCAGGGTGAAAGCATCATTATGACAGGCATGTCGGGAGTTTCTGTGTTGTGGGGATGCCTGTCCAGGGACAGAGCCCCTTGATCCCCTTGTGCCTGAATATTTTTTATTGAAGTCTTCTTTGTGCAATTACAGCTTATTTCTTGGCCCTGACTCTGAAAGATTAATTGGACAAGAGGGGAATGTGATTGATCTGTTCTCTCACTTCCCTCTAGCATGACTTTGTTAGAGTATGACATTCTCACCTTATTTTCAAGGAGATTAACAGATAACATGTTCTTTTGAATAACAGTGGTTATAGAAACCCTTGAGCTTGCCACAGTGCTCCCTTGTTTCCTTGACTCTAGCCCTAAAATCCTTGTCTCAGCCTCTAGGTTCCTGTTTCTCAGCTGGGTGCTGACAGCAACTGTTTTCTCCATTGAGGACACAACAAGGACTTGTGTTTTATTGGGATGTGAGGTTTTACACAGAATCACATTTAAATAGCATTTTCCCTCTAAGTATTGGAGAACTCCTACCAGCTTGTGTGTTGATGGGTCCCAGAGAAAGTGCTTCCATTAAACTTTATCTGCCAGGCTTGAGTAGTATGCCTTCCCTTGAACTCACCTTGAGCCAGAGTTTACAAATTCACTGGCTGGTTAGAGAGGTTGATTAATGGGTACAGGTACACATTCAAGATGATGCATTTTTGTTTGGAAATTGCAGAAGTGATGATATATCCTTAAGTGCATCATATCATGAAGCACATAATATCATTAGTAATAGTACAAATTGACATGGGCCTCATGATATGATGCCACTAAGGATATATCATCACTTCAGACAAAACCAAATTGAGTTTCATTGTTTAGAATAACTGGTCTGTATTCTTCAGAAGTATCAAGCTCATTAAAGAAAAATAAAGGCTGAAGAACTATTACAGATTAAAGGAGACTAAAAAGATATGACAGGTGAATACAGCTTGTGATCCTGGGCCAGATAAAGGACATTGATGGGACAATTGGTGATATTTGGATAAGGTCTGTATAGTAGATAATAATATAGTTTATAGTATTATCAATGTTAATTTTTTGAGTATAAGAGAATATCCTGGTTTTAGCAAACATTTAGGAAGTTTTTAGGAAGTATTCAGATGTAAAGGGGTATCATGTCTGCAGTTTACTCTCAAACATTTCAAAAACCGGTTCACACAGAGATGTGAGAGAGAATATGAATGAATAATAAAACTTAAGTGTGGTAAAGTATTAACATTTGATGAATCTGGGTAAAGGGTAAACAGGAGTTCTTTGTACTATTTTTGTAACTTTTTGCAAGTCTGGGATAATTGCAAAATTAAAAAAAAAAATTTTAAAACCTCAGTACTACTTAAAGGGAAGTTTGGTTTTCCTCAGACCAGAAAGCAGGTAGCACACCAATCAACTTCAACTTTTCTTTGAAATTATACTGGTAGAAATGGATTTTAACAGTGAACAACTCAAGCAAATGGACTTACTTCTTGCTCCATTACCTGAAACAGGCCTACCCTTCCCCCTACTCTTCCTGGCCTCTGATAACCACCAATCCGTTCTCTATATTCTGAAATCCATTTTTTTAAGCTCCCACATATGAGTGAGAACATGCCATATTTGTCTTTCTGTGCTTGGCTTATTTTACTTAACATAATGACCTCCAGTACCATCCATGTTGCTGCAAATGATGGGATTTCATTCCTTTTTTATGGCTCCATTATATTCTGTTGTGTATATATACCACGTTTCCTTTATTCATACTCCATTTACATTCAGTGTTGTTATTGATAAGTAAGGACTTAACTACTGCTATTTGACTGCTTGTTTTGTGGTTACTTTGTAATTCCTCTTTCTTACTGTTTTTGTAGTTTTTTCTAGTAGTATGGTTTAATTAATTGCTTTTTTAGTGGATTTATTACAGGTTTTTGCGCTGTGGTTATTGTGAGACTTACAAAAAACAACTTGTAGTTATTTTTATTTTATTTTATTTTTTATTGAGACGGGGTTTCGCCCTATCATCCAGGCTGGAGTGCAGGGGCATGATCACAGCTCACTGCAGTCTCGACTTCTTGGGCTCAGGCGATCCTTCTACCTCAACTTCCCGAGTAGCCCACCCTATAACAAGTCATTTTGAGAGATGATAACTTTTTTTTTTTTTTTTGAGACAGAATCTTGCTCTGTCCCCTAGCGTGGGAATGCAAGTGGTATATTCCACGCTCAGCACCAGCCTCGATCTCCTGGGCTCAAGCGCTTCTCCTACCTTAGCCCCCAAGTAGCTGGGATACCAGCATGTGCCATCATGCCTAGCTAATTTTTTTGTTGTTGTGGTGTTGGTGTTGTTGTATGATAATAGGGATGCTTGCACTATTGTTTCCCAGATTGTGTCTTCAAACTCCAAGAAAATAAATAAAAAAATAAGTAAGAATAGAATATTTGAATCAATACGAGATATCCATTAAAAACTTTCTACAGACTTTATACTCTGTCCCCCATGTACTATTTTTAGCTGGTTTGGGTGCTTTCAAATGGTAACGATATTGTGCTATATGTTGCCTTTTTTTGAGACCCAAGTCCAGCTCTGTCGTCCAGTAAGTTGCTAGTGGGCGTGTCCGCTCATGCCGTGCAACTCCGACTGCCTGGGGTTTTTTTTTCATAAAAAAGCGAATTCGTCCGGTCCTCAGTCCTCCTCAGGTAGCTGGTTGGATATCATGTCAACTACGTCCACGTACACTCTGGCTAAATTTTTATTTTTAGTGTAGAGATCAGGGTTTGTACTATGTGGCAGGCTGGTCTGTGATGTAGCTACCCGCCGCCCGTGGCGTTCAAGTGGACCGTGCCGTGCGAGTCACCAAAGGGCGATGAGTTTGACGGAGATGTGAGCCACCGTGCCCAGCCTTATTTGCCTATTTCTTAAGAAGTTGCTGTAGCTGTTATTGTTTTTGACAATTTTGTCTTTTGGGCTTCATACTAGAATTATGATTAGATTGCATATCATAATTAGAGTATTAGACTATTCTGGGTTTGTCCATTTATCTAATTTTACTAGTGGATTTTATACCTTCAAATGTTTTCTTTTTGCATGTTAGTTTTTTCCGCCCCCCTTCAAATTGAAGAACTCTCTTTAGCATTACTTCTAAGACGGGTCTGGTGGTAGTGAATTCTTTCAGCTTTTGTTTATCTGGGAAAGAGACTTTATCTCTCATATTTGAAGAGTAGTTTTGCTGGATACAGT